TTTTTTTTTTTTTTTTTTTTTTTTTTTTTTTTTTTTTTTTTTTTCAGTGGAGAAGGGCGTGCTGATCATTCGGAGTGCTTCGGGTGTCTTTTGATACAGAGGCAGAGTAGCAGTGACCGATCAATTTATGCACGCGTTTACCGACTAAGCTGATTCGATCTAATTTATTTGCGATTAACGATCTCACACGGACAAAGGTGCATCATCTCTAGGTGTGTGTGTGTGTGTGCGCGCGGGGAAGATTAATGCCTAGTTTTGGGAATTTAAGGGATGGCAAATTTCAAACGGAAGCCGTGCATCACCGATATTTGCGCGGGCAAAGGATTGCGTGCAGTTTGTAGAGCTAAAATTGATTTACGCCCCGATTAATCAAAAGTCAAAGAAGCGTTTTTCGCTGACCCTTCCGTGCAATGTGCGATAAAATGATGGAAAAAAAAAAAAAAGGAGTTTAACAAAAAGCGAGCGATCAGCCGAGAGGAAAATTTCCAAATCAAAGGAAAGAATCCAAGCAGCTTGAGACAGGAGCTTTCATAAATCGCCAGAGGAGGGCGAGAGGGAAGGAGGCTGTCAGTCGAGCTGGTTTCGGCTGCGGCGCTGAGCTTGCAAATCAAGCGTGATTAACGATACGGCGCAGCTCGTTAGTAGAGAGAGAGAGAGAGAGCCCGGGCCCCCACGTCTAGCTGGCTCGTTTGCGCGGCGTTAAATAATTTTTAATTGAACGGCCGACCCGCTCCTTCTTTGCCTCCCTCCCTTTCTACGTGTAATTTTGGGTGTGTGGGTGTGTATTTTGTGCCAAAAATTTGGGCTCGTTAGGGCCATGGAAAAATGGCGTTTTTCACACTCATTCTCGATACCAAGAACTGCAAGGGTGAGTGGTTTACGATTAGCGTATCTTTAAATGTCAAGGCTTACAACAAAATGTGTTTAAGGGTGGGAAGTAAAAAAATGTCACGAACAGAAAGAAAGGATATTCATGTCGTGTCATCGATAGGCCAAGCAAAGACCCATTTTTACGGCTCATTTTTTGTAATGTTCCCTACTCGACGGCGCATCCATACGTAATAGCGCGTTCAGTTGGGATCGCGTACGGCGTATACTTTATCATACTCCAGGGGCGGGTTTGTTAAGTTTCGAGCGTCACTTATCTCAGGAGCCCGAGGGTGTTAGGGGAGCGGGGGGGGAGGAAGGTATCTTCTTGCAGCCGCGCACACACCCACCCTTTTACGGGGGGGCATCGGGTGACATCGCCGTAGCCAGCCGTGGTTCGGCCAACTTCTCGAAAGTGTCGCGTGGACTAAACTGATATGAGAAATGGCCGCTCCGTGTTGGCCGCAGGGGAGTATAGAGTATAGGTGGACCACGTTTACGTGGGCACGCAGGGCTGGAGGGACCCCGTCACGGACTTTGCCGCGGGAGAGGGCAGCTCCGAGCCAACTCCTGAGCGGGCGTGCGAGGCCTGAGTTGAATACCTTGGGTCACTTTCGAGGAAAAGCTTTGCAATCGTTCGACAGCGGCTCCCTTGGATGATGTATTTCCCTTATCGACTTTTACGGAGCTCACGGAAACTTGTACGATACACGCTACGCCAGGGATTTTGTTTGGACATTTTTTTTTCCTTTGCATCATGCATGTCTTTTAGGCTTGGAGTACTTTTGAATGATTTTTTTTTTTTTTTTTTTTTTCAATTAAGTACAACCCTTTAATTTTGGGAGTACTAATGCATAATAAGAACCCATTTGTATTTGTAAACACATTTTGAAAATACAAGTTAATCCATCTCTTTTTATACTCGACATACAAAATAAATAAATGAATAAAAAAAAAATAAGAAAAATCAGCGTTTTNAAAACAAAAAAAAACAAAAAAAAAAAAAAAAAAAAAAAAAAAAAAAAAAAAAAAAAGACGAAGTGTATATGTATAAGCTTCCAACACCGCATTAGAGGGTGCGAAGGACTCGATGCGCGCTTATCATCGCTCGCAGCTCGCGAATCGCCCGGATCCTTATTTATGGGCCGTTCCAATGGCAGTCCACTTCATCGAACAGAGGCTGCTTTTATTTTTGGAACCTATCTGTGGGACAGCGAGAGAAATCGTCTTGGTACACCGACGAGAGACAAAGTGACACGAGGGACAACAGGAAGAAGCCGAGCGGACGATTCCGCCACGGGAACTTCCGGGTCGAGCGAGTGTTATGAGCGTATGGTCCCGTCGGGAGTCGTACGGAGAGATCGTATCGAAGAGCGCTCGTGATACTATACGAGCTGAGAATGCGAACTGCGACGAGCCAACGCAGTAGCGGAATCTCCTTCCTTTTGCCGATAGGGGAGGATGATATCTCTCCTTGGGGTGTTTTTTTTTCCCTTTGTTTTTTCATTTTCGTTGTCGAAAAATGAAAGTTCGACGCTTTAGATAAGCCGAGAGACGTGCGCCGACTCGCGAAGAAGTTGCGGCGGTTCTTTTGCTTGAGTCGGCTCTTGTGGATCGCTGGTAATTTGCACGGGTGGTTTTAATGCGGGGAATGAGGCGAAAATTATCGAGGCCGTGCCTCGCATTATCGTACCCCGTAGTTATTCAAATTGCATATTTGGATTGAGCGGGAACTACAGCGGTGTGAATCCAACAAATTTGAATTTTGTCCGTGCATGGATAATTATCTCCGTTATTGGGTTTGATTATTGTGTTTAGGGACTTTTTTGATTTTTGCAACTACAAATGGTATCGAGTTGATGAAATTACGTCCATTACATCGCTGTTTTAAAACTAAATGGTGCAACAATTTTATTATTAAATAAGTTTCGGTATAAAATTACTCATAAAAATATAAAACGACGGGTGAATTATTTTCAACAGTTAACAAACATTAATATGGACAATTGGGTGTAAGTATAATTACTGCAATGATGTTGAATCGTCATAGAATGGATATACGGTAAAGAGAGACGGTTTGTTTCCTGAAGGAACTTAGATCGAGCCTCAATCTCCCCTTGTCATATGTACAACCATGGTACAACGGGTTTATTGTATAGTAAAAATATTAATGTCAACACTAAATCCATACAAATGAATAAAACCGATTAAAATTTAGGTGCGAGTCATTTTTTTTACGACACAAAGTCAAAATTCCTCCTTAACTTCTCAAGCCAGTACGACCCTGCACAAGAGATATGCTTCAAATAAAAGTGGCAGTAATAATACCATTATGTATAATTTATTTTTCCCACTTGATAAAAAATTCAAGATCTAAATATTCTCGCTGATAAAACAATTTTTCATAAAAACTGTGCAGGAATAATTGTGAAATTGTTTAGAACAAAAACACATTTAATACTGACGTTCAGTTGATTACAAACACCGCAAAGCAGTAAAAACACTTGTTTAAAACAGCAAGTTTTTATTTATCAATATTTTTCATAGAATTGTCACATTATTCACATAGCATTCCACAAGTTCCAGCACATATTTTTCGCCCAATTGCCTGCAAAACAAAACCCACGTTCCTTCGCAAAGACACCGTTCCCCAAAACGCTCACGAATAAATTCATTTTCCCGAAATGCATGAATGAAAAATTTACCACAGCCCCCAAAAAAGCTTCCCCAACGTTCGGCCCACCATCCGACATGATCATCAAAGGTCAGCCACTCTGACAGGAGGCATCAAATTAAGTAGAAACAGCCCTCTCCGGACAGCCGATAGGCCACGATCCGACGGTACACGTGGAGCGCTCGGCATACAGCAGCCATGCACGGCGGGGCGAGCCTATATACTGCATTGCGCCTCCCATCTTCTAACCTCAAAACAACCCCTATCGGGCTCTCCCAACCCTACTCTCTCACCCTTGGCTCGTTGGTCGACCCTCACCCTATACCGAACGTACGTTTTCTAACGCAATTTACCCTTCCTCGCTGCTCCACTCGAGCCGCAAACCGACAAAACTTACCAGTAAAAGATCAGCCTCGTTCTCAGCTCCGATGGACGTTCCAGTGGTTGCTCCTCAACGACGACGATCCTGGCACTGTTGCTTCTCCCGACACAGCTGCATCCTCGATCACAATTGCACCAGGTAAGTCTCTCGTATTTCGTTTGTTCGATTTGCAATTCACCAACAGTTCTCGGTAATAAAGAGCCCGACCTCCACAGCACCTCCCGAAAGGCGTAGCCAGCTGCGCGCGCGTAGCTTGCACTATTCTTCTTTTTCTTCCCGATTTACAACGACACCCTCGTGATCTCTGACGATATATCCCCCGTTGCTCTGCCAAATGGTTGAACGATCATCTGCTCCCTTGGGCTCGTTGTCAGTGCCGGCACCTCGACGTCGTATCACTCCCACTGAGTAAAGTTGTTTTTCGTCAAAGGACTAGCTTCACGTACAGAGCTCCTCGTGGGAGCGGAGCTCCGTTGTCCCAATCAGCGGCTTGTCACGTTTGGCTTGGATATGACGGGGGTAGGATAAAAAGGGGGAACAGACGGCAGAGATGGAAGAGAGAAAGGGGAAAAGAAGAAGAGAGTCGAGGGCTCTAGGAGGGTAGGGTCGCAGTGGCCAGGGTACGGATCACCACCTGCACGACACGCACACCTCGTCTCTTCTATTTCGTCTCGGCGACGGCGACGACGGCGACCGCGACGACGACGTAAAAGCGTGCCGACGCTCCCTCGCGAGCCAAAGCAAACTTGTCGGATGGCAATACGTGAGTTAAATGCTTCGGCCCGCGCCGCGGATGGTTTACGGCCGATAGTCCCCACCTAGGGCCGCCATGCGGCGCTGCTGCTCGCTTCGTTCTCCTCTCTCTGTTTCTTCTACTACTACCAGTGCCACTTTGACTAGTACTACTACCACCACCACCACCACCATTAGTAGTAGAGTTGCCGCAACGCAACCACATGATATATATATACGTGTGTACATGTATGTGGATACGGCACATATACACCTCGATTGTGTCCATATGATACAACACTGGTGCTTCGAAGGCAACCCTTCCCCGCTGCCGCCTCCTCCAACGACTCTAAATTCTCTCTCACTCTTCCCCCTCGCGCGACGATCGTTCCACCTCCTTCTCGAGAGTCCAGTTTACATGTACACATACTCGCCAGCTTACACTTACACACAAGCGATTTGCCATCTCTCTTTTGCTCCTTGCGAGTGATATCATCGGTGTGTACGTACGCTCTTGTGGTTTCGTTCTCTCACTCACGTGTGCACCCATATCCGTGCCACCACACTACGTTGGGTGTCGCGAGTTGTCCTTGCTCCTCTATTCTTTATCGAACGTACATTATGGGCTCGCTCGCGCTCCGTCTCAATTTTCGCGCACAATCGCGCGAATTAATTAGCCGCTCCTCGCGCGTTTGTACTGTCAATCAGCCGATTCCCTACATGTTCCTTATTCCATTTCATTTCACAGCCACTGATTTACTTTTCACCTTCATTACAAAGTCCTTTTGTTAGCCCTTGCAACCTCAAACCTCAATCAGTGTCCCACATCTCTCTACCCTTGCACCTGTACTGATAGCTCACTTCTTAGAATCCATTCTTCGATCATCGTTCCGATTCCTTAGCTGTTCCGTACCTCAAACGGGGGAATCCCCTAAGTATATGTGCACCTCCTCGGGATCCTTTCTCATATCCACCCTCTTCTATAATAAGCATCAAGTCAGTTTTGCTTCAACACAGTCGTAACTAACGTGTGCACGTGCACTATCTTTCTCCAAGTCTCTCTCTCTCTCCCTCGTTCTTCTCATCTCTCCACCTACGCCTCTCCCTCAGCCCATGTAGATAGCTACTCCCTCACATAGGCTACATATAGCTCACACAGTGCAGCGGCACTTTTCCCCTCTTCTTTCCAAAGTGCAGCATATCGTGAACGCGCGAGTAAAAGCGAGATGGAGTAAATGCATCTTGCCAAGAGTTGAAGCGAGAGCACGTGCGGCGCTCATATATATGTATACGCACACCAAGATAGGCGGGGAGAACTCGACTGAGACGCAGAGCTGTACATGAGGGAGCAAGTGAGAGAGCGTCGACAGGACGGAGACGAACGAGCGTGTGAGAGAGAGAGCGCGCTCACACACTCACACACGCTCAGCCAACGCGCAGCTCCCCGGGATTTATGCGCAAGGGCGTTGTTAATGGCTCTGCCGAGGAGTGGGGCAACGAGCCGAGGGGAAGTGGATCATTTGGCGTCCTCGTCTCTCCCGTGGAACTCCAGGCTCGATCAAGCATCTGGTCTCACTCGCTCCCCAGAGATGAGCAGCCCGTGCCCTTTTCCATCTCCATCGCGCGTGGGCTGCTCAGCCGAGCGCCAAGTCCAACCCGCGGTTTTCCCTCGTGCGAGCCATGGAGTCGATGATGCAACGGGACCACGTGACCGGCCTTCCAGCCAATCCTGCCGCGGATTTTTGAATCTCGCGCCCCGAGCTGATGTTACCGCTCGAACGAAGTGAGAGGCACGAGCTGCGGAATTGGCTTGGTGTTCTCTTTCTCTCTCCTCCACATGCTCCTCCGACTGGTTATCATCGCATGCACGTGCGGGATTGAGCCATTACCTGGTGCTTTGGGTTATAGGTATAATTATATAGCGTCGCGATACACATCGAGTAATGGTGATTTGTGGCGCGGCCGGTTCTCTTTCTCTCTTGCTCCTACGTATATTTGTACTGTATTGGATGTTGGTGCTGCTGTGTACATGGACATGTGCACAACCACATGTTTAGGACTGGCATGATATGTATGCACAATTACATGAGCATGGTACACTTGTGTATATTGGCGTTGGATTTTTTGATTTTTTGTTTTTTAACTTTAGACAAGCGCCTTATTCTACTGCTGGAGATCCTGGCTGTAGGTATTATATGCGAAGTGCTGAAAACTCAGATACGATTATCTCTCTGATGGGAATCTTATACACACTCCATGTCACTTGTCTCTTTTCTTTCGAGCGTAGTAATGGATATGATGAATTTTTTGTTTTTTTTTCCTCATTTTTTCCAAAGTAGTTGTTATAGAACTGAATCTTTCGAAGAAAGTGATGAAATTATTTTTTTCAGTGGCAGTATAGAAATTCGTTTCTTGTGTCAATCTTGTTTAGTACTCATCGCACGGATTTCAGGTTATTTTATTATCACAGTAATTTGTTACAATTAACTAATTACTATTAGATTCGTCTCAGGTGTGTGTTCATTGTATACATTTTATGACAGTTACATAAATTATAATATTAAAAGAACAAAATATATTGTGTATCATTTTAAAATTTATGAATATAGTGACTTACTTGGTAGAAAAAAGATTCTGCAAATCCTGAGACTTTATTTCTGAAGAGTATTGGTTTCCATAGTAATCCTTACTACTAAGTATTTAAATAGTAACATTTATGTTACGAAAAGAGAAAAAATCCAACCGGATTAAGTTAATATAGATGCCACTAGCATCTTTTGGTAAAAAAGGGACAAGAAAAACCGATTGTATTAAGCGTCACGATTAATGACACAAACAGTCTTATCTTTACAACAATTAATTTGTAGAGACAAACGCGGTGGAATTGGATTTTTTTTTGATACTACAGTTTATTGGGATGGACCTTTTACCATTTATAAAAGCAGAGGTAGGGAGACAGTCAAACATATTAGCGAAGCCAAAAACTCAGAGCAAACTTGAGGTAATGTGGGAGTTATCGATGAAGAATTAATAATGGAGGTTGAAAATAGAAACTAACAATCTCCAAGGATTGTTATTGATGAACACGAAAAAAATTATTTACACATTAAATCCTAAATAGAAAAGTAAGGTCAGTTATATATAACGAAAAAGAGATTCATATAGACAAAACAAGAGGAATATGTTGATGCACACGCAAAACAAACACGTACATATCTTCCAATATACTTATTGAGTATACATTAACACAATACATGATAAATAAAACCCAAACTTGGTGATCACACATTTCAACTCATTTTCGTAAAGCAAACGTTACAGGAAGTACAGTAATTTAATTTAATTTAATTGAGATTCGAAATACAAACGTAAAGGACCATTTTTCAAGTTAGAGGGAAAAAAGTACCATTTTTCTAATTGAATTAATGATTCAATTCACTTATGGTAAATTGGTAGGTGCAAAACTTTTCGTTGCACTCGGGCGTGCATTTCAGCGCCCGCAGACCCTGTCGCCCCCCCTTTGCCTTCCTTTCCACTTGGTTCCCTTGCTCTCATTTTCCCATTTCTCCAACCACTCTCTCTCTCTCTCCAGCTCAGCTCCCTCCCCCTGCCTTGCTGCCGCAGCCGGCACTTTAAATTGGATTCGCGCTCGGAGCTCGAACCTCGCCGCGAAATTGTGTTTCACCGCCGGCCAATTCCATCCCCTTCGTCTCGCACTCCCTCCGTCTTTTCCTCTGCTCTTTTTCTCTCTCTCTCTCTCTCTCTCTGCCGTTCTAGCGCCTCGGGTGGGATTTAAATCGAGCAGAGCGCACCGCGAAATTCGCTTCAAATTTAAAGCCAAAAATACTCGACCAAGCCAGCGAACTCTCTCCGTGTGAAAAGCTTATGCTGCTTCGGTCCAAAACTCGCCGGTGGAGCCCCCATGAAAAATATTTCATCCTACATTTATTTCGCGACATTTCGTGCATCTTGCATTTAAAAGTTTTTTTTTTTAAGGAGACCAAGCATGAGTTTTGTATTACTTGCATTTCCTTCACCAGAGAGGTCATCCGGTTTATGGACGCGAGAATTTTAAGTGGGAGGGGACGTCCAGAAAAAATACAATAAAATCAATTTGGACGAATTTCATCCTGTATCTCTCGATTCGTTGAAAACAATTGATCGAGAGTCGCTGTTCATTTATCGCGTTATTTCTTGGAGCGATTTTCGGAGGCTTTCCGGCACTCGCGCAATATATAAGCGCGATGTCAACGATCTATAGATTTGTAGGGATGTTTTATCTGTCCCCTTATTTTTCTTTTTTTCATTTCAGCTCACTTGATTACATCGCGAATTGTCAGGCTTTCATTATATTTGGCTCGTTAATCATAGAAAGCGGATTTCGCTGCCGATTAATCACAGATGGAAACTGCAATTTGTACAATTGGGAAAATTCAGTCGCCCAATTTAGTTCCACGTATACGCGATCTGTGCGTGTCGCGTAGAGCACGTGTACATGCCCACTATTACTAATACCTTAATTTATTGCGAATCAATAATTTTGAATAAAACGTGATAAATAACTATCATCTTCTTCGATTTTTCGACTAAAATGCGCGCGTGCACGTCGAGCTCGTCCCATCTTATAAATTACAAATATTCAGCGTTTACTTTGATTTACTAAAAACAAATAAAAAAAAAAAACGAATCAAAGGATAAACAAACAAAAAAGGAAAAAGAAGAACCATTGTTGTACACGGCACGCTGCGTCATAATTATGCGCCCATATACATACGGCATGAGGAACGGTTAATTAATCAAGCCTAAATGCACTCATGCCCTGAGCCTCGCAGGCAGTAGATTTAGCCCAATGGAGCGTATGGGGCTTCATGCGAGGCATCACGTGGTGGCGCGCGCCGGAGCCTCCCCTCGTGCTCTATGTAACATCAGCGGCGCCTCGTATACACATGCAGCAC